GGGCTGGATTTCGGGGAGTGGGCTTGCTGGGTGGGCGTGGAAGCTGCGGGTAACCTTGTTGGAAACCACCCAGCGTGGGCTGCACCGGCACCGGCTTGCATTCCCGCCAGCTAGCACTTCCGTACGAGAGCGCTGTGTGCCCTGCTGCCCCAGCAGACGACAATGGACAGGCCCTGAGGATGGGCCGGCACCACGCAGGCTGCCCCAGGAGTGGCCCAAAGATGAGCCAAGCTGGTGACTGGCAGAAGCACTTGGTACCAAGTGCTCTGAAACCAGCCATCCACCCTGCTGGATGCCCACAGTGCAGATGGACGGTCCTGGGAAATTTCACTCTGTGGGTCACTTGCATCCATCCCTGGAGGCCCACTATTGCAGCCGGGTCCTCTCGGCAGGACCATGGGGTCACAAAAGTCTCAAAATCAGAGGCCTTGGGGAGCATACATGTTTTTCCTGGTGGGGTTTCTGATTCTGACCCTCGATCTACAAACCTGTGGTCAGAAGTTCCATGGGCACACAGCTCTGGAAGGCACGTGGGGAGACACGGCAGCCCACCCCTCCTCTTCCTACTTCCCACACCTCAGCAGCAGTGGGGGTCCCCTCCACCCCCTTCTTCCCTTCCTCTCTTGGGATCTTATTTCACAGATGCAAACCTTAGCCTTTGGAGGATATTTTTAATAGATTTTGGGGGGTAATGTTTTCTTGCCTCTGCAGAGCCTGACCCTCCAAGCTGTTTCTCTGCCCCAACCTCTTGGATGGATCCTGTCTCCATGACGAAGCTGAGCAGACCCTCTTCTCTTGCTCCGCACCAGCTCCCGGTCTGGTACTGAGATGGAGATCTTTGGGAGCAGCCCCCCTTTACCCTTGAGCCTGGAACAAAGAATCCTGTCCTTGCCAGAAACGTTCCACTCTTGCTGTGGGGCTTGCGGGGTTGGGATCTCCCCTCTGCGGATCCCTCCCCCTGGGCCCTGCTGCAGGCTCCCGCCCTGAGGTCTTGGGCCCAGAAGGGATGTGGCCTCCTGTCCCTGACCCGTGACCAGTAGCGGGCATGTGGTTCAGTCCCTGCACCCAGCATCTCTGCCCTGATCTTTGTCTGGCTTCTAGGCACCACTCCTGACCCCCAGCCTCAGGGTCAGTGAGGACCCAGATTCCAGGACAATCTTACACAAGGAAAAGCTGCTGGGGCTTCTTAGACTCTATGGCGGCTCAGATCCTTACCCTGGGATTATGATGGTAATGATGACACTAACCTAGGGCTCAGGCTTATCTGCATGGGAGAAGATTTTCCCCTGGCTTTCCAGGGGAGTGTTAGCTGGTGAGGGAGAGAGCGGTGAGAGGCAGCAAAATGCAGTTTCCCCAAAATTGCCCACCTGGGTTTCTTCTTGACCAGAGAACCTTACTGCAGCATTCTTGTGGGGAAAGCAACAAATTTCTCTGTAAAGTATCCAATTTATTTTTAAAAATTTACCATTGTTGCATTAGAGTATAAATATTAAAATGTAAAATTTTCTTTCCAAGTGTACCACTTAACTCCACCTCAAAAGAGATCAATTATATTTTCTTTTTCAATGATACACACTGAGGCAAAAAGTTGCTTTGACTAGCAGCTCATGACTGCGGGGAATTCCACTCTAGAGAAAATATTGCTATTGCCAGCTAAACGTCCTTATCGATAAGCTGTGTATATTTCCAAATTATAATGCAATATTTACATGGAGAACAAAATGTAAATGGTTCACTTGTAAGATTAATATAGAAATAATATTTACCAAAACTGCTTTGAGAAATGTGGTTTAATGACTCAAATTCGGTAAACGATTAGTCTCTTCAGTACTTTTCTCTCATTGCAAACAGGAGAGAATCCGAACATTCTGTGAATATAAAGAAGGTCTCCCATTTCTTGGGGTGTCCTGAAGTCTAATATGCTTTAGATTTGGAGAAGGTCCACGAAGGAGCTGATGGCTGAGCCCAGCACGCGGAGCTCCAGGAAGGCCCGCTCAGGGAGGGGCATCCCTGTACCCACTGGGCTCAGGGATGGTCAGGTGGGGGTGGGGGTGGCCAAGGCAGCCTAGGCAGCCTGGCAGCTGGGAGGCCAGAGTGGAGGGCAGGGAACAGGGCTGCTCCAGGGGAAGGGACCGCCAGGGCTTGGCTCCTGGCCTCCAGGCAGGTTAGGAAAAGTTCCCTGGGGTGTGGCTGTTCTCAGAGCCTCTTCTTCCAGGGACTTCACACTTCTGGCATCTTTCACCATCTCTGGCTAGGAGCGTTGGACTCCCTCTTCGTTCTGTTCTCGAGCCACAGAAGTTAATTTCTGCAGCATCGAGGCGGCCCTCACCACCCTTCTGTAAGCGTCTGCAAGGCTGGGTGCATTTAGTGGCCCTTTCCGGGCATTCCTTAAGACATCTCAGCCACGGCGTGCTCCTTCTTGGCTGCACAAAGCTTGTCGATGCGTTGGCCTTTCTCTATGACCCTTGCAGCCAGGGTTTTGCAAGCTGCTTTTCACATCTTACATAAAGCTCACTTCTAACGGACTGAATGAGTCTGAGCATAAATAAAAGACCATCAATAAGCTCATGACAGGCAGACACTCCCCAGGCTCCCATGGGAGACTGTGCAAAGTCAGCTGTAGAGACAGTCACTGGGCAGCAGCTCCACTGCCTCCTCTCCCAGCTGCCCACGGGACATCCCGAAGCCATGCTCCACGGAGCAAGGCAGCCCCTCCATGGCACTGCCCGACACAGGCTCTGCCCGGTCATCGTGAAACCCTGCAGAACACCCAACATCCATCTGGAATCCAACCGGCAACTGGCATCGCCGATAGGTCAGTCATCTGGCTGGCGGTGAGCAGAGATCTACAAATAAAATGTGCTCATCCCATTACTGTGTGGAGAGCATTCTTCACCTCTTCATCTATGTCTGCACATCAACACAAAATTAAAATATAGTGAAAACCTGCGCTTAAGTGTATGACTTGACCAATTTTTGAAATGTGTGACTCTTTACATTTTCCAAAAGCTCTATCAATATACAAACTAGATTCATTAACCCAGAAAAGAGCCCTCGGTAGGATTTCAGTTAAAGTGCTACCAACCTGGGCACCGGCAACCTGCTTTTTGTTTGTTTTCGTTTTTGTTTTTAGTTTTGCGGTAGAATTTAGTGATTCATCAGTTGCATGTAATGCCCAGTACTCATTCGATCATGTCCCCTCCTTAATGCCCATCCCTCAGTTACCCCATCCCCCCCCACCTCCCCTCCAGGAGCCCTGTTTGTTTCCTGGAGTTAAGAGTCTCTTATGGTTTGCCTCTCTCTCTGATTTCATCTTATTTTATTTTTCCTTCCCTTCCCCTATGTTCATCTGTTTTGTTTCTGTAATTCCACATATGAGTGAGGTCATATGGCATTTGTCTTTCTCTCATTGACTTATTTCGCCAAGCATAGTACCCTCTAGGTCCATCCACGTCATTGCAACTGGCAAGATTTCATTCTTTTTGATGGCTGCATAATATTCCATTGTATGTATATACCACATCCTCTTTATCCATTCATCTGTTGAAGGACATCTGGGCTCTTTCCATAGTTGGGCTGTTGAGGACTTTGGCATCCTGTTTTAGTGTCGATGAAACACCTCTAGTTTGCAGTGGTTGAATGTTCTAACAATGAGGTAAGTCACACTGTGAGCTTCGATGTCTGTCTCTTGCTCAAAGAAATGTTTTTGAGACCCACATGGTTTTATTTGAATGAGTGGTTCATCATGTTTTTTAGAGCTGAATAATTTGTCCTTGTAAGAATATATCACAAAATATCCATTCTCTTTATAATGGACATTTGTGTTCGTTCTAGTATTCTATATGAATGAAGATATTGCCAAAATTTATGCTTGTGTCTTTTTTTTTTAATAAATAAATCTGTTTTCATTTGATCCAGGTAAAGAATATCCGGGGGGTGGGTGTCGTGGTGGAAATATGCTGAATTCTCTTTTATTTTGAGACTGAGTTCTTGAGGTAGAATTTATGTCATCAGTCCATGTACTTAGGAAACATTCTTTGATCCTTTCCTTTGTGCAGAGTTGTGTCTCAGTCACAATCCCCTGTTGAAACAATTCTGTTGCAATGAGAAGATCCCTTTGTCTTTCCCGCATTGGCTCCGTTGGACGAAGTCTGCCCATCTCTCTTTGAAATCTGTCCCTCCCTTTGTTTCCAGAGCGGTGCATTGCACTGTGTTTACAATTGTGGGGTACTGTTCCTTTTTTTTTTAATTTTTTAAGATTTTATTTATTTATTTACAGACAGAGATCACAAGTAGGCAGAGAGACAAGCAGAGAGAGAGGGAGAGGCAGGCTCCCTGCAGAGCAGAGAGCCCAATGCGGGGCTCAATCCCAGGACCCTGAGATCATGATCTGAGCTGAAGGCAGAGGCTTAACCCATTGAGCCACCCAGGCGCCTCGTGGGATTCTGTTCTTGTTGCTGTGTGTACTCTTCTGGTCCCACTGGCCTCTCCTGCTCTGTTTGTCTCTCAAACCACCCAGCATTAGTTTCGACCCAAGATTTGATTGTGAAACCACTTTCCTTCCTTAGCATCTCACCCCTGTGCTGACCTCATTGGTGTTATGGCTTTAATGGCATCGAAGCGTCCTGACTTACCTGCATTTGTTCTTTCCAAACCTTTCCATACAGTCCAGACTCACACCCACAGCTGCCTCCATGGCATCTCCGCGGGGTGTCCATCATGCTGGAACCCAAGTAGACTACCCCCCCACCCACCCCGCAAACATGCTCTCCCTCATCTGTCCCTTCCTGTGACGCAGCTCTGTCCTGACAGGGCAGCACTGAGGTCCCCTGAGAACTGACCCTCACTCACTGGAGCAGAAACCCTGGGTGGTGACACCAGCCCTCTGTGTGGTGACAAGTCTGCCAGAGTATCCTCAAGTCTGAGACTCCTAGACCGACACTATGTGGCCACTGGTGGCTTTGCTTCTCAGCCTTGAGACAGTGGAGGCCATTCTGGGCTTCTAGCTGTCTTCATATCGATGTCCATGTGTGGTCACTGTGTCTCCACATGAAGGAGAAGCAATACATAGAATCTATGTGCAAAAATATGGCACCAATACAGACTGGATGTGTTGTCAGTACATCTAATTATGTACAAATCACGACATAATGCATCCCTGTGAAAGAGCAGTAATACATATAATTAAGATATACAAACGTTCTACAAGTACAGGTTCGTAGTTATGTGTAAACAGCATGTGTCCATGGGAAGGGATCAGCGCTTATGACTAATCCATACCGATGTTATAGCAATGATGGCCGTCTAAGTATGTTAGTAACATAATTATGTGTAAATCACAACACTTAATATAGCAGATAGTACATAAATAATTACATAACACAATGTAACTAATATCGTACATAAGTTTATATCTGCTCAAATATTTTTGAAAACAGCTAAGATGGTAAACACACACAGAGACTGGCAGAAAAAAAACCCAAGTTAAAAATAGCCAAAATGAGGGGCGCCTGGGTGGCTCAGTTGGTTGAGCGACTGCCTTTGGCTCAGGTCATGATCCCGGAGTCCTGGGATCGAGTCCCACATCAGGCTCCCAGCTCCGTGGGGAGTCTGCCTCTCCCTCTGACCTCCCCTCTCATGCTCTCTCACTCTGTCTCTCTCTCTCTCTCTCAAATAAATAAATAAAATCTTCAAAAATAAATAGCCAAAATGATCACGTGAGCTGTGAAGGATGAGTCTGAGGCCCCACGTGAGCCCCTGAGGGAGAGGTGTGGGCCAGGTGTGCTCAGGCTCCGGTGGCAGGCAGACCACCTCCATCGAGGGCTGCGCAAATCTCACCACCTGGGTGGGGAGCAGCCAGTCAGACTGAAGGCCGAAGTCTGGCACACTCTCCACCCATCTCAGTCCCAATCCTCAAGGAGCCATTTACAGAGTACCGAAGCCCAAGTCTGGTGAGGCTGCTGTGAGCCTGGTGTGCTCCTGCTGATGGTGGCCGGCAGTGAAAACCCATCGAGGGTCCCCAGGAGGTCGGGCCACACCAGTCAAGAGCTCAGAAGTCTGTGTTCCCTTGTGATTTCTACTGGGAACCCATTCAGGGAAACAGAAGGAGCTGGAGGGCCAAAGGGTCCCGTCATGGCACCGTCACAGCATTCATACACTGGAAAAACCAGAGTCCACTGATGGGGAGCCTGAGGGAATCACATCTCAACTTCATGGAGCATTATTCAACCATGAGATGCATGAGATGTGGAGATCATACAAAAAAATGAGAAGTCTCTAAAAATACATTCTTTTGGGCGCCTGAGTGGCTTAGTCAGTTAAGCGTCTGCCTTCAGCTCAGGTCCTGGGATCCAGTCCCATGTCGGGCACCCCGCTCAGGGGGCAGTCCGCTTCCTCTCCCTCTGCATCTAATCCCGCTTTTGCTCGCTCGTTCGCTCTCTCTCTCAAACAAATAAATAAAATCTTAAAAGAATAAAAATAAAAATACATTCTTTTGAGGAAACACAGGCACAAAATCATTTCTACGTAAAACTTGACATGCACATGGGTCAAGGAATTGATGGGAATACAGAATCCACTGAAATTCTTCTGAATGAATTAATTCTTCAGGAAAAGCCACAGTTTATTCTCCAAGTGAAGTGAGGCTCTTGCATATTTTAGTGGAGCCTGCCCAGTCAGCCCCTCGAGGGCCAGTCCCGGCAGCCCTCTCTCTCCCTCTTTCCCTGAGGCTCAGCCCTCAGACTCCTCTCTGGGAAGTGAGAACCAGTTTGTTTTCTGCTGGGTCTGTCCTCAGCGTGCACTGAAGCCGTCTCCTCCTTGCTCCATCTTGCCCCCGGCCGGGCCAGCACTTCCACCACTTTCCCACCAAAGGAGAAGTTTGTTTCTTCCCCTCTGCATGTGCAGTCGACGGTGACCTGCCTTCCCTCGCCAGCAGTAAAATACCTGGTGCTAGCCCTGCGCGGAATTGTGGTTTGCTGCCTGGTCACCATGGCAATGGTGCACGGAGGTGGTAGTTGTGTTCCTGTGCTCCTCCCACAGAGAGGGACTGAGCAGTGGCAGGGCTGGAATGAGGATCCCCCGCCTTGTGGTGGGGATGTGTTTGTGAGTGTTGAGGTCAGGCTGGCTTCCCTGCTTGCCTCCCACTAGCTGGGTCACCCTGTGAAGTCACTCAACCTCTCCCGGTTTCACGGTCCTTACCTGTCAAATGGGGCAAGAGTAGGATCTACAAGACAGGCTCATCAGGACTGGACAGACCTCTACATGAAGGGTTCTCAGCCCAAGGCTTACTGGGCAAGGGGCAGTGGAGTCGTGTCCACTGAGGACGCAGCGAGCGGCCCTCCCCCCAGTGCTCACGTGGGTGTGGGCAGCTGGAGCAGCCTCTGGAGGGAGGGACAACATTTGGGCTTAGAAGTGAAGAGAGAGCACTTGAGAGAGCCCTCCGGAATCGCCCTGGGCCAAGCTCAGGGAACTGTCCGCAGTGCTGAACTTTTGGGTTCCATGATTTGGGCACTGGGTTTCCACCTCAGGGGAACTGTTACAGAGTAATCTCCTACCCAAACATTCCTACACCCAGCAGGTGAAGGGTGTGCACCTGAGGGTCCCTGCAGAGAGCACATCTGCCACCTTGGGGGCCCTCCCCTGGCTCTGACACCCAATGCGTCTACTAGTTAGTTCTAGATATGGTTTGCTTTTCTTTCCCTCTAAGCATTCCATGCCCTCATTCTCCCTTTCCCTAGTGTCCAGCTCTCCACCCCTTCCCACATCGTCATCAGCAATAAGCTCCCTTCTGTTTCCAGCCTCCTCACAGGATGACCCCCAACCTCTGGCTTTAGTGAAGCTGAGACCCACCCCACCCCGGCCCTCTGGTGTGGCTGCTTCCTCTCCCCACCTATGCCTCAGGGGCACCACCAGGGACTTTCTGCTTCCATCCACTTCCCTGGGATGTGCATCCCCAAGAAACCGGGCTGCTGCCTCCCCAGGCCTTCAAGACCCCTGGGCTTGCACTTGCTTCTCCTTCGGTGGCCACTTGCATCTCTGTCCTTCCTCTCTCCAGCCTCCTGCCCACCCCTGTTGGCCTGCTGTCCTCTTGCCCTCCCTCCCCCACCTGTGTCCTTGGATCAGTCTCCAGCCAACAATTCTCTTTGTTCCCAGCTGATGTGTAGGCAGATGTACGCTATCAGAGAAAACCAGCCCTCTGCCCTGAGGGGCACCGCAGAGTTGGCGGGGGGCACATACTGCCTGCAGTAACACGGTCCTCTTCCTCATGGTTGGTGACATCCTCTGTTACCACTCAACTCAAATCCCCCTCAACAGGAATGAACACTTCTCACGTTTTAAGTACAAATTTCACTTTCTCATGTTGTACAGAAAACCAGGTACAGCATCCAAGTTAGGCATAAAGAACTTCTGACTGCTTACCATGGCCACGGAGAGAGTTATCTGGGATCCAGATCTTCTTGCCCCGCCCAGCTTGCCATTGCTGGGCTCCTGCACTCTGGCTTCTTGTGGGTTTGGCAAAGAGAAGGCATCTACAGGAGATGGGAGAGTGAGAGACAAGATGGGGCATTTCCTCTCCACTCCCTCCCATCACTGGTTCTGCCTTCCCGTCAGCTCTCCTCCAAAATCCCAGCTGGAATTCCACTGGCTCCGGAGATTTCACTGTCCTCCATCAGCGCCATAGGTGGGAGTGGTAAGAACCCTTAGTGAGACATTAAGGTGGATGTAAGGAATCCCTGGTGTGTCACCGCCCTTTGGACTCCCTCAACCCCACCCCTGGAAGTGCCTGCTTACCCAGGTCTCTTCTTTAGAATCCCTGTCTCCTACTCAACCCCGATGATCAGGTCCCCAGGTCCCCCCTCTCTAACCTATCCCCTCTGGGGTGATAGTTCTGCCCACCGTCCTGGCCTTCCCCCTTCCCTAAATGTTCATCTTTCCCATCCTGTTCTCCCCCTAAACGCACCTCTCCTTCTTCCATCACCCGCTCTACACTCCATGCTATACCTCTAGCCATGGCCTGAGATCTTCCCTTGTATTTCATTCTGCCTTCTGGAAAGCACGATTTTTTTTTCATCTTTTTCTCATCTCTCATGTGGTTGACACCATCCTGTGACCTAAGTGGTAGCCCCTCCATTCTCCTTGCTGAAGTGTCACGGTTCTCAATACATACCTGACTCAAGCTCTCTGAACTGGGTGAGGGTCTGGCGATAAGCATGGATTTGGAGTCAGGCAGCCTGGCCAGTTCCTAACCCTGTGTGGCCCTGGCTCACTTCATAAACCCCTCTGATCCCTGGATTCTCTCTGTGCAGAACAGGATCTAAGTACAATCTCACAGACCATGGGAGCTGAGGGGCATGACAGGTGTTCAGGGCCCGGCACGGGATTCTCTAAGTATTTACGGCTGTGACAGCGCTCAGGATAACCACCACCGATCATCTTCTGAAACCAGTGTGGTTCCCTCCACCCCCCCAATTCATATTGAAACCTAGCCCCCAATATGATGGTGTGAGGCAGTGGGGTCTTTGGCAGGTGAGTGGGTCCTGAGGATGGAGCCCCAGAATGGGATTAGTGCCTTTATAAAAGGACCCCTGAGAGCCCCCTGCCCCATCAGCCATGTGTGAGGACATCTGAGAAGACAGCCCTCTAGGAACCAGGAGTGGGTTCTCTCCGGACACCCAACCTGCTGGAGCCTTGATCTTGGACTTCCAGCCCCCAGAACTGGGAGGAATAAATGTTGTTAAAGCTGCCCGGTCTATAGCATTTTGTCATAGCAGCGGAGCTAAGACATGGTTGGCTGGATGCGTGTCCATCCAACCAGGCTTCCACACATGCCTCCAACTCCTGGTCACATTTTCTCAGTTCCCATCCTGGAAGCCTGGCATTTCCTTGGGATCCCCCTTTGTCCCTCTTCCTTCCCAAGTGTGCACCAGAAACCAAGGAGCTCAGCATGACCTGCAAGCCAATGGCCTTCAAGTTCCACTCCTCAGCACGGGGCAGCTCTCCACGGATGTGCCATTCCCATGCACCCAGAACCCAGCCCTCACCTTCCTTCCTCCACCTGCACTCTGCGTCCCAATGGATGAGACGCACTCAGCCTCACCGTCCAATCAGAAGCATGGCCTTTGCTCTGTATCCCTCTCCCTGGGAGATGCAGAGGACTCTGCCCGGGCTCCTCCCGAGCAGTCTCCACGGCTCCTCCCTTAGGAGCTCAGCTGCAGAGGGACTTGGCTGGATGGCCACGCTCTGGTGGCTGCTGAGTGAGGACCAGTGAGGACTGAGGAAGCCAGGAGGGGGCTCTGCAGGCTAACCTCCCCCTCGGCCCAGTCCTGTGGCCCTCCCTGCTTCCCATGGAGCTCCTGCTACTCCAGACTCTACCTCAGCTCTGCCTCTAGACAAGCCGACCTATTCACTTGCTCCATACGCCTATTCAACCTTCCCACCGTATCTGGGGCCCACCCACGCCTTTCCACCCCACTGCCCTTGCCTTCCTTTGAGACCCCATCCTGTTTCACCTGTGCTGTTATCTGCCACCATCGCAACTCCCCAGAGCACCCCGCGTTACCATTCAAGGTGTCCACATAAAATACAAACCTGCCCACACCGTGCAGCCTCCAATCCCACATCATGAGGGAGACACGGGTTATAGCCACACCCTCCACGTCCAGCTGTCTCAGCGGCCTGGCCTCCCAACATTGCCCCCATCCGACCATCTCCATGGGTTCTGGAAATGCTGAGCTGTGCAGGCCTTGGGCTGCTCCCCAGATAGCCCCTCTTCCGGAGGTGTCTCTTCGCCCCCATGTACCTGGAAGATCCCAGAAATCCCTCACCCCTGCTGAGGTCCCCCCTGACATCCTGCGGCCAAGGTCAGCAGGCTCCACTGCGCAAGGTTCGTATCCCACATACATTTAAGTTGTTGCATAGTGTACTGGGTTATTGTGATAATGTCAGATTTTCTGCCTCTCCAGGTAGAATGAAACCTTCTCGTGAGCAAAGCCACCGTCCCCAGGGCCCAGCTCGTGAGCCATCTTCAGGCAGGTAAAGACAGCTTCTAGATCCAGGAAAGGCGAGGAGAGGGGTTCTCCCCTAGAAACTCCGGAAGGAACTCACTGCCGTCCACCCTGGACTCTACCCCGGGTGACCCATGCCGGATTTCTGCCTGTAGCACTGGCAGATAAAACACCATTTTAAACCACTGATCTTGGGATTATGACATCAATAGAAAAACAATACACTTTTAAGTGAATAGATTTTAAAAAGGGAAACCACAGTATTCGGAAACCACAATATTCTGGAAAAGCTACTGTCAATGACCTCAGGCATTCTTGAGTCCGAAGGCTGATTTTATAGTGGTTTCCTTCCTTTGCTTTCCTTCTGTGCTGCCAAACAATGAAAATCTCCTCGGTCTTCGATCTCTACACCATTATAGCCTGAGAGTAGGCAGGACCAGCCTGGGTGAGGGCGCCGGGCACGGCCTGGGAGGTAGAGTATGGGTTTCCTGCTCGGCTTACAGTTTCTGTCTCCATGGCCCCCCCACCCCCGCCCCCATCGTCTTCCCGGAAAGTGAGGTCTTACCGTTCTACTGCATCCCTGGAATATTAATTAGCCTCTTTGATTACAGATCTTCTCATATGCAGTACATTTCTATTACTGTGATATTTTAAAATGGCCAATTTCTCTCCACTTGGCTCATCCTAATAAAAGGAATAAAAAATCTCCTGTTGGCTAAAGGGTTAACCATGGAGATTTGGATTTTTTTTTCCCCTTCTTTGGAGACTCAGGACGTGCACGTGTGTTCGATGATCCTTTCACAAAAAGAATCGAGGGTGAGATGCCTAGGGTTTGAATGTGCGTTTCCTGTACATTCATGATAAATGCTGAACCGAGTGGCACATTCATGGTTGTTTCTTGCTTGTAAATGAACTGCTGAATGAAAGTTTTGGGGCACAGCTCACCTCCAACAGAGGCCGTCCTGTTCACACTGGGAGCTGAACAACGGCTCTTGAATTTTCTTGAAAAACTAGTTTTTCTGCTGTCCATGACAGTCCTGCCTTCCTCCATGCATTTTGTAATCAGGCTGGCTTTTTTTTTTTTTCCCACACTGCCGTTGGAATAAAGATCCCGCCTTTGATTGAAATGGAATCTTCCACTATTGAGCAAGCCTTCTTCAATGAGTCATCGGGGCGGCTGCTCATTGGCTGAGGCCGCTGGAGCCAGGGGATTGCCTGGCACCGGCTCGCAGGGCCCGGCTTCATTCACAGAATCGCTGGCTCGCTGCTAGCCCTTCCATTCACACAAACAGCCTCTCATTCACATTTTGCTGTTTTTGTCTGCTTCTAATGAAGAGCGGGGTTTGGGAATGATAGGGCGTTTTTGCTTCAGATCTGGGGGGAGTTCCGCTCACCATCACCATCGTGGATGGGGTGTGCACTTGCTGTTGCTAAGCGAGCAAGGGGAAGGGCGAGAATGAGAGCCTGCGCCCGGGGAGGGGAGCCGCCGCGGCCCTGCGCTCCTGCATCCAGGCAGCCGGCCTCACCTGCCGGCCAGGAGCCGCCCTCCGGGCACCTGGGCCATAAAGTTCTGCTGGGTTTGGTGCCTCCGGGGGCCCACGCCTAGTCGTGGGTGGGAGAAGGCAGCGTGCTGGAGATAAATTTATTTGCTTGCACAGAGTTGCGTGGCAATTCCCACAGGGTGGTTTCTGTGTGTCGGGTGGGTTATCTCCAAGCATGGCGGAGACCGGCAGAGCCCCAGGTGCGAGGGCTCCGAGGGTTTGAGTCTCCGCCGACCTTCTGGGAGCCGCCAACGCCCCGTTGTCCTCGCTGAGAGGAAGGAGGCCTTCGCCTCTCCCTCGAAGCCGAGCCTGACTCCTAAAACGGATTTTCTGTGTAACCAGAGCAGCTGCATTTTTTTCCTTCCTTCATGCAGGGTTGCAAGGCAGCAACAGAAGGGACACTGAAGTGTATTTGTACGTTTGGTAGGCATTTTTCCAGACCTCGAGCACATTCAATTGGGATAAAGCTTCAAGCCCAGCCCCCTTTTTGGAATGGATGTCTGGAGCCGGCTACCATTCCTCAGAGAGGTCCTCTTCTTTTCTGGAAGCAGGTTTTCAACCCAACCCTGACTGAGGAAGGCTGTTGTCCTTAGCAGGGGACACATCTTCACCAGCTCTGTGCAGACCTTTCTTTCTTTTGTTTTTCTTTTCTTTTCTTCTTCTTCTTCTTCTTTTTTTTTTTGGAGGAGCTGCATTGCTGTAAAGACACTTGTCATGGCTGCTCTGCTGACTTGAAAAAAGAAAAACCCAGGAAATTCGTATTTTATGTTCACCTGGGAGTAAATATTCTTTTCTTTTCTGTTCTCTTTTCTTTTTTGGCTATTTACCAATTGCTGGTGCTTTCCAAATCAGAATTCATGAGGATCGGCTGAAGATCTTATTCTTAAAAAGCCTTCGTCACATTTTAACGCATGGCTGTCAGACATTCAGGGGCCACCACGGAGGGCTGAGCGGGGGACAGGAAGCCTTAGCAGAGAAGAAGGGGTTTCAGAAAGTTCATCTGACTGACCGAAGGGACCGGACTGACCTCTGGCACAGATGCTGAGTCGGGGGATGGGGAGGCGAGCACCCAAAGGTCGGAAGGGAATCTCTGGGAAGGTAGAAAAGGCAGTTTGAGAATTGATTGGCTCAGTGTGCAGTCAGTGGGTGTATGCATTTTTTTTCTTTCTTTTTCTTTCTTTCTTTCGTGTGAGTGAGTGTGTGTGTGTGCGCGCGCGTGTGTGCGCGTGTGTGCGCTACAGGAAGTGATTTGCAGTGCTCCCCGGGCCTTTGTTGAGAAGGGTCTCCTCTGGAGTGAGTCACGCTCTCGCTGTGCGCAGCCCTAGCCGCCGGGCGCTCCCTTCGGAAGCGATGCCTGGAGCGGCGCGAGCGTGCCGCCCTCCGCAGCCCAGCGCGGGGCCGGGGCTGCGCGGCCGCGGCGGCGCGGGCCGCTAGCGGGGAGGCGGCGCCGCTGTCCCCCGCCGTCCCGGCCGCCGCGTCCCGCCGGGCCGCCGCGCTCGCCCCTGCAGCGCCCGGGCGGATGCGGCCAGCCCACGGAGGGGCATGCTTCCACGCACCAAGTACAACCGCTTCAGGAATGACTCGGTGACATCGGTCGACGACCTTCTGCACAACCTGTCGGTGAGCGGCGGCGGCAAGGTCTCGGCGGCGCGCGCGGCCCCGGCGGCGGCCCCCTACCTGGTGTCCGGAGACGCGCTGCGCCGGGCGCCCGACGATGGGCCGGGCAGCCTGGGCCACCTGCTCCACAAGGTGTCCCACCTGAAACTCTCCAGCTCGGGCCTCCGCGGGCGCTCGGCGGCCAGGGCGCGGGCGGGCGCGCGGCTCTCGGGCAGCTGCAGCGCGCCCAGCCTGGCCGCCCCGGACGGCAGCGCGCCCCCCGGCCCCGGCGCCCCGGCCATGCGCGCCGCCAGGAAGGGCCGGCCCGGCGACCAGCCGCCGCCGCGCGCCCCGCACGCCAGCGACCAGGTGCTGGGGGCCGGAGTCACCTACGTCGTCAAGGTGGGTGCGGGCGCGGGCGCGGGCCGCAGGGTGGGTCGCCGCGGAGGCTGGGAGGCGCGCGCTCCTTCTTGGCCTGCTCGCGGGGCCGCGGGGCCGGGGTTCTGCCAACGCGCCCGCTGCGCACCCGCGGAGAGAAGCTTTGCCGCGGGTGACCTCACTCTGGCCTGCTTTCTCCTTGGCTCCACTTCCCTGGCCACTGGCTGTGCCATGTGTCCGGCCAGTGGCCCTCTGGGCATGGGCCCCTGTCCCGGGGAAGTGGGCATCAGGCCCATACAGTGAACACACTTGGAAGGAACGCACAGCCCTGTCCTGAGAAACGCAGTGGGTGTCACTACTTTTGCTGTGTCTGCCCCAGGAGGCAGGGTGGGTGGTTCGGTTCCCGCAGCTCCTAGCAGTGCAGGCCAAAGGCTGCCTTGCTTTATGTAAGCCGGTAGTGCTTTCCTACCCAGCAAGGTTTTCTCCTGTGTGTCTGCCATTCCTTCCATACCTAAGGGTTTTTGGTTCACAGCAGTAGAAGAGAATTTGGGACTGTTTTTCCCTGGGGCTGTAGCCTTCCCTTTAAATAGGCTAAAAGCACGGGGCCTGGAGCTGCTGGCTGGAAAGGCTTTTCCTCCAACACAAAGAATTATACAATCATGCCCAATGTGGTCCATAAAATTCCTCCCTTATACAAATATTTTGGGATGCTTAAAGAGCCAGCACCCAGCTCCTGTCCTCGGGCCTGCCTCTCACTCACGTCTTCCTGCCTGATGGATAGTCGTGAGCTGTCCCTGCGCCCTGCGGCCAGGCAGACATCTGCCAGAAAGAGGCAAGGGCTGGGAGTCTCTTCTTTGTCAGGTCACTCCAAAGCACGGCTATGCGTTTAAAAAGCGGTGAAACCCACACACTGTCCACGGTGTTTCGTCAAGCATGCGGAGAAGCCTGCCAGGGCGTCTAGCTTCCACACATCAGCTATGGACTCAGTTCAGACATTCAGCAGACCCAGCCTCGGGTGAAATGTTGCATCTTGGCAGTTGGGAGCCCAAATTATTAGAGGAAGAGGTTAGCTGTGGGTTATCTTTAACTGTCTAAACAGACCTGACTAAGGAATGTGGTCCCCGGTGCAGAAACGGGGCTTCTCACCCGTTTGAGGCTGATTTCTGAGTCTTCATCTTCCCTTCTGAAAATGGACCAATTTGCTTTACAGAAAGGATGGAGATCGGCATGAAAAATGCATGCCTGCTTGAGTTTATGATAAGAGAAAGTGAATATTCTCCTTGTGGTCCTTCTTTAAATTATATAACCAGGAGCCAAAATAAAAAGGAAAAAAAATCAAGCAAAAAATCCTGAGACCGTTGAGGCGAAACCATGGTGGAGTAGATGTCTTCCAGTGGGCCAGCAGGACTCCTGTCTGAAACAAACAAACAAACAAAAGAAACATAAAAAAGCACCAGAAAAAGAGCCTACCTTTAAAATAGATAGACCTTGGCAAAGCTCTCTCTCTATTCCTGTCATGTTGAACATAGGAGGTAGTTTTCAAACGGAGGGAGAATCTCAAACTTATGCCTTCAAAGTTTTCCTTTAAAAAAATAAAATCATTCCCTTGGCTTAGGGCTTTGCTGTTGCTTTTTGAGGAGCGACTGGTTCCAAAGGTCAGTTGTGGTTGGCTTTGGAGCCAAGCGAGCGAGTCGGGGCTGCGAGGCCAACCTGCTGGTGTGAGGTTGTGAACCCGGCGACAGCAGAGCTCCTGTGGGCCGAAGCTGGGTTGGCCTGAGCCTCTGCGTTTGGGGGGGAATCACACGATTGTGCCCCCAGTAAATGGTGGCAGTGCCCGGAGGCACCTAGCGTGCCTGCTTAGTGCTCAGTGCCGTGAACCGTGGTTGCGGGGACATCAGCTCAGGCTTCCCCAGAGAAGTTTGGAAGCACACAGCATGGGGGTCGGACGCTAAGGACAATGTCCCGTGTGCACACTTGATTCCCGTGATCCCACGGCGCTCTGCTGGGGCACATTCCTGCGTTGCCCGGGTTGAGTTGAACATCATGGACTTACTCTCTGGAAAAATCACAAAAGCGGGAAAAAACCTCTTAACTCCGTATTGCTTGCCGATCTTCGAAGAATTTTATCAGTATCTTGGCTTTTTTTTCACTGGTAGAGAGAAAGAGGCAATGTGTATTACATGCCTGCCCTGCAGCCGTCCATCTGAAGGCTGAGGGTTTGGGGAGGAACTCATGATTGTCTTGGATTTAAATTTATTTCTAAATTAAGGACCCCCCCCCATGTTTTCCTATTTTTTGGAAAACCCATATGCTGTGTAATTATAGGATTTCCCCCTCGTAGACATACCTGTTATGGCACTCCGAGGATGCCGTCTACACGATTATTATTGAAAAATATTTCAACTCCATCTGCTTAGATGGGAGTGGAAACTGTGAGGGAGTCTGGGGGTGGGGGCTGCTCACCTAGGAAACATCAAAGTATTCCAACAGCAGGTTGTCGTCTTCATTAACGAAAGGTATGAAGGTCAGAGACGAGACACTCCCGAGGAGCAGAATTCTGAGCTCAGTGGGTCTCACTCATCCCGTGAGCCCCCAGCAAGTCTGCCGCTGACACGCCCTCAGGACCCTGGGCTCCCCCAGATGCAGACTCCAGGGCTGGATGGGCGTCAGGAGGCCTTGCTGGCAGGACTTTTGTACCCTCCTAGAGCTGTGTGGTGCAGGGCTCTCATCTCACGGAGCCCAAGAATGAATCTCGTGGACGTAGAAGGGTGAAGTGAAGTGAAAGTTTATGAAGTGAAGGTGAGACCCGGAAGGAAAGAAAAAAGCTCTCTCTCGAGAGGAGGTCCCGAATGGGTGGCCACTGTGGGCTTTTAGGGCCGGTCTTTCATAGCAAATTGACCAAGGAACTTAAGTCTTCTTGAAGTCACCACTGGTAACACCCGTGACCGGTCTCCTTTTGTTACTTTCAGTGGTCAGCTTGTAGCTATCATGAAAACGTCTTGTCTATGACATTTAAGACCAACAAGGGGGTCTCCTTATGTTCCCTTGTCTCTGGCATTTCTCCACATCAGGGATTACTGGGAGCCTGGTCCCGTAGACCCCTACCCATCTCTCCCTACCCAGGCCTGCCTGTCCTTTACGCACTAGGTGTGTCTGACCCTTGGTTTTTGCTTTTGGTAAAACAGCCGCAAAAAAACGATGAATATTCTCAGGACAATTCCATCTCAAAACCACATCTGGACATGGAAGGTGGATAGAAATTGTGTTGATTACACTCTGCCCACCTTAACGTCCGTGGCCTCAGAGTCCAAGCGGACTACCGCTGGGCGTCCATGGTGATTGCTGCTGGTCCTCGACAGGTTCCGAAGGTGATGTTGGGGTGCTCCACGCACAGGCCCACAGAGTGAACCACTTAGGAAGGACAGGCAGGCAGGGACAGGCCACTGGCCAAGGTAGGAGGGCCATCTGAAGGCTGGCATGGCCTTGAGGTTCAGCTCTGACCCGCCTGGTGGGCAGCAGTAACTGGGGCTGCCTGGGGGCACACTGCTCGCCCAGGGTCCCCAGGAGAAGGGCTCCTCCTCAGAGCACATTATGGCACACGCTAGAAACGGGCAAGGAGATGACCGCATTCAGGGCTGACTCCAGTGCCCACGGCAAGAATTGGGAGCCGAGTGAGGAGCGGTGAGCTGGGGTGCTCACTGGTCACTCTCAACACAGACAGGAATGGTGACCTGCTCACAAATACCGTGGTGGACCCTTTGCACGTCTGCAGGTTGCCGTCTGCTCTCACCACGGTCTCTGTTAGGGGCTCTTTGAAGGACACTCTAACAATCAGAGCTGCAGACTTTCCTCCTGCTACTGTGGGCTGTTTTTCTTCTGGAACGAAGCCTTGTTTTTACAACAACTCCTTTAAGAATTATTTTGTATCTCCCATTTGTGAATCTGATGATATTTGGGGTGGTATAAATTATTCATTTTATTTATAAATGTTCTATTGCTCTTTATAGATGGCCTTTATAAACAGTACTTACTCTAAAAATTATTCTAAATTGGTATTTTTTCCACTTGCCTCAGTGCTGTTAAAAATACCTTAAATAGGGGCGCCGGGTGGCTCAATCGTTAAGCATCTGCCTTCAGCTCAGGTCATGATCCTGGGGTCCTGGGATCGAGTCCCACGTTGGGCTCCCTGATCAGTGGGAAGCCTGCTTCTCCCTCTCCCACTCCCCTTGCTTGTGTTCCCTCTCACTGTCTCCCTGTCAAATAAATAAATAAATAACAACCATTTAAAAGAATACTTCAAATGTTCTGTGTTTTAGCGCTGTATTCCTGTGACGCCATAAGCAAAGGTCATCGCAAACTTGTTTCAAGTATAGCCATGAGACATTATCATGGTGGGAGAGGTCATCATGGTGGGATTGATTGAATTCTGTTTTTGTTCTGGATGAACAAAATTGTTCCTTGATGTGGAGTAAGAATTTTTTTAAAAATCTCATAATATGGGTGGCTTACATGTAAATATTATCTAAATGGCTTGAAAAAATTTGAGAAATTCTTTTGAGATTAATAGACAAAATTATTAGTTTAATCTGGAAAGTGTATCATCTCCATTTTTATGTGACACAGTATAGCAAGTGTGTTAAATGTGTGTGCCCTATACAGCACACTCACACTGCACACATACCACACACAGACACACACGTGTGCGTACACACACATGCACACAAACACACACACACACTCCACAGGTAGACAACTTATGATAACTTTGGACAGGGGTGATTTTCTTTCTTTTTTTTTTTTTTTTAAGATTTTATTTATTTGAAACAGAGAGAGAGATCACAAGTATGCAGAGAGGCAGGCATAGAGAGAGAGAGGAGAAAGCAGGCTCCCCGCTGAGCAGAGAGCCCGATGCGGGCCTCGATCCCAGGACCCTGAGATCATGACCTGAGCCGAAGGCAGAGGCTTAACCCATTGAGCCACCCAGGAGCCCAAGGGTGATTTTCTTTCTTGTTAGAAAATACTAA